TCTGCAGTTTTATTACATCACGCGCTGGCACAAATGCAGTATATTAACGCCAAGGGTCATCAATAAGGTGCAGATTTGGTCCTCAATTTGTGTTTCCAACACACTTTTTCACAGCGCGCATCACGCGCTCAAACTCATCAAAAGTCAACAAGCAACAACGACTTGGCGGTTAAAGTTTTCTATGCACAATTTGATTTGACGAAAGTCACGAGACCTATTACTCTCTATCCAATCACATTGATGGATAAAAATAAAATAAAATTAAGCATGTAAAATAAAAAGTACCGATTCATCACTTAAAATGTACTCAAGTAAAAGTAAAAGTACACAATTTTTAAACTACTCAAAAAAGTACAATTACTAATAAAACGTGAGTAACGTGAGTATTTGCAATTTGTTACTTCACACCCCTGGTCCTGGCGTATTACTAATCAAAAATGAAGTTTTGATATATTTATGGTGGGAAATTTACTAAATATCTTCATGGAACATGATCTTTACTTAATATCCCAATGATTTTTGGCATTTAAGAAAAATTGATAATTTTGACCCATACAATGTATTGTTGACTATTGCTACAAATATACCTGTGCAATATTTATATATATATCTATATTTAAATATTATATATATATATAGTTAAAACCATCAGTGCACACTTTTCCACACCACAATCTGTCAAGCACATCTTACCAGCAAACATACACTCGTTCACATCCTTCTCTTCACTTTCTGAAGTCTCCAAACTCATCCTTTCTAATCATCCTACTACTTATCTGCATGTTCATTATCATAATAAAATACAGTCAGTCAAACATATGGAAAAAAACCTATGTAGTAAAAAAAATATGTAATAAAATCTGTGCCGTTAAGTGTTACCACCGCACCGCCGTGATGTTATGCAAAACATTTTGTTTTATAATATTTATAACATAATAAATAATAATTTGCCATTCAAATACATAGCGAATACGGAAACATTTGATTTTGTGTGGAATGAGAGACCCAATGTTGGTTTCAGTTTCGTTTTAACCTAAATTAATTCGTTTTGGCTTGTCGTTTATATTGCTATAGCTTCATATATTTTTAATTCTTGTTCTTTTCTAAATACTGTTAATTGGATGGATTTGTTGTGGAGTGAGGGGAACTAAAATAGCCTAGCTATGTTTACAGTGTTTATTATACTGTTTATAAACATTTCGCGTCAGCATTAGGCCTATTTCTGAATGAAACAATAAAATGCGACTTATACACGACTTGTTTTTTCCCCCTAAACAACACATTTTTTATACGCATAGCATATTTTAACCATGCAGCAAACCTTTTTAAATATTTTGATCAATTACTGAAAGAATTAAACCGTTTAACTGATTGTATTAATCGGTCAAAATTCTTACAGTCGGTTAACCGGTTAAACGGTTAAAATGAACATCCCTAATCCCTTCACACTGGTGTTTTTCCCTCAGCATTTAGACAGTCTCGTATAACCCCACTACTTAAGAAACCCACCCTTAACCCATCTCTTTTAGAGAACTACAGACCGGTTTCCCTTCTTCCTTTCATTGCAAAAACACTTGAACGAGCTGTGTTCAACCAAGTCTCTGCCTTTCTCACACAGAACAACCTCCTCGACAGCAACCAGTCTGGTTTCAGAAGTGGACATTCAACCGAGACTGCCTTGCTCTCAGTTGTTGAAGCCCTAAGACTGGCAAGAGCGGATTCCAAATCTTCAATACTTATCTTGCTGGATCTGTCCACTGCTTTTGACATGGTTAACCACCAGATCCCCCTGTCAACCCTATTGGCAAAGGGCATCTCAGGAACCACACTCCAGTAGTTTGAGTCTTATCTCTCAGATAGGTTCTTGAAGATATCTTGGAGAGGCGAGGTGTCCAAGTCACAGCATCTAACTGGGGTGCCTCAGGGCTCAGTTCTTAGACCACTTCTCTTCTCTGTCTACATGGCATCACTAGGTTCTGTCATTCAGAAACATGGCTTTTCATATCACTGCTATGCTGATGACACTCAACTCTACCTCTCATTCCATCCTGATAATCCGACGATAGCTGCTCGCATCTCAGCTTGTCTAACAGACATTTCTTGCTGGATGGAGGACCATCACCTTCAACTCAACCTTGCCAAGATAGAACTGCTTGTGGTTCCATCAAACCCATCGTTTCATCACAATTTCACCATCCAGTTAGGCTAATCAACCATAACTCCTTCAAAAGCAGCCAGAAACCTTGGAGTTATGATTGATGATCAGCTGACTTTCTTAGGCCACATTGTTAAAACTGCCCGGTCCTGCAGATTTGCTTTATTCAACATCAAGAAGATCAGGCCCTTTCTTTTGAAACATGCTTCACAACTCCTTGTTCAAGCTCTTGTTCTGTCCAGGCTAGACTATTGCAATGCTCTCTTGGCAGGTCTTCCAGCCAGTTCTATCAAACCTTTACAATTAATCCAGAACGCGACAGCAAGATTAATTTTTAACGAGCATTTATTTGACCCTCTAACTCTAGCACTCTCTATTCTAATTCTATTCTTTATAAAAACAAAAACGTGCCCCTTTTAGACTTGCACTCTATTTACTTACTGCTTGTTTTCTTAAAAAAAAAACTAACACTTGCTTCTCTAATCTTTTTGCGTATCTGTTTTCTTTTTATTTATTATACAATTATAATGCTGACTTTCTGACTTTTGACTTCTGATTAACAAAAGCAAAAAAGGCCTCTAACACTAGCTTGTTCTATTCTTTTTCTATTCTATCTGTTTTCTTTTTATTTATTATATGATTTAAAAAACCTTGCTACATGTACTGCATTAAGCTAACTGAGGCTTGTTATAGCACTTGCATATCATTGCTCTTTTGTTGATTTTGATTGCTTCCATTGTCCTCATTTGTAAGTCGCTTTGGATAAAAGCGCCTGGTAAATGACTAAATGTAAATGTAAATGTAAATATATATAAAATTAACATTATCCAAAGTAATTTCAGAGGATGAGAAAGTTGCATTTTAATGAAAGATTATGAAAACAAATATTTTCTTTGGAACAATGTGCACTATTGGATCGTTCAGAATTAGACCAGGAATGTGTATTAAAACGTAAGTAGGGTCAAATTTGGTTTCATGTTGCCTTAAAAAAATTACACACTTCAGTTTTAAAGTTGCTCATTTTAGATCCAAATAGTCTTTTTAGTCGCTCTTCGCAAGCGGAAGTGAAATGAACAGACGGACTTTAATGTAAATACCTCAAGGAAAAATGTAAACGCTGTGCAGCATCTCAGCGCTGTCTTCTCTTAGACTAAATCAGACTGACCTGATCAGAATCACAGCAAGCGCTCGTGATAAACAGTCTGTCCGCCTCATCCTGTCACTCTGTCTTCATGTAAATAAGACCTGTTTGAGATAATGACCAGGGATGTGTGTGCGCGTGTGTGTGTTCCTCGAGTGATTTTAACAAGTTGCAGCTGGAGGTGATTTGCAGACAATGAAATTGTTTCTCAAGTTGATCGCCTAAACACACACAAACACTTTAGCATGAGTGTGTGTGTGTGTGTGTGTGTGTGTGTGCGTGCATGCATTTAATGCAGATTAACTGTGTGTGGTCTGCACTCCATATCTCCACCAGAGAGAGTGGAAAGGTGTGTGTGAGTGATTTTGTAGACAGTGTATCCAGTGTTTGTATGGTCAGCCGACCTCTCACACGGAGGCAGATTTAGCTGTATACGCATACATTTTGTATCGTATAGGCGTTTCGTCCACAAGGATCCGGTGTTTTGGGAGAGTGAAACCGATATTTTTTGAAACCGGGTCCCAGAGTGGATAAATCTGAAAACGCCGCCCTTGCGTTTTCGTGTGGCCAGCGAATCCGTATATTTTCTGAAACGATGATGTCATCAGCCCACGTCTCACCCCTAGTCAGACCCCGCTACGTCACGAAACAGCAACAAAAACATGAACAAACAGTCTTTTTATTAACTAACATTAACACAGATTAATAACTGTATTGTTCCATGTTTGTTTGGATACCGCACACAAGGTTTAAGCGCATAGTCTGAAGTCTTCAGCCGACCTCTCACACGGAGGCAGATTTAGCTGTATACGCATACATTTTGTATCGTATAGGCGTTTCGTCCACAAGGATCCGGTGTTTTGGGAGAGTGAAACCGATATTTTTTGAAACCGGGTCCCAGAGTGGATAAATCTGAAAACGCCGCCCTTGCGTTTTCGTGTGGCCAGCGAATCCGTATATTTTCTGAAACGATGACGTCATCAGCCCACGTCTCACCCCTAGTCAGACCCCGCTACGTCACGAAACAGCAACAAAAACATGAACAGTCTTTTTATTAACTAACATTAACACAGATTAATAACTGTATTGTTCCATGTTTGTTTGGATACCGCACACAAGGTTTAAGCGCATAGTCTGAAGTCTTCTTTGCATATATTTCTTGAGACGAGGGGAAAAATAAAGATTGGATAGGGAAAGCTCTGGTTTCGTGTGGACGTAGCCTTGGCTGGATTTGTGTTCTATGGTCGCTTGTTCTGATGGTGCTTTAGGTTGCTAATGACATGTTTGTTGTTTTGTGGGCATAATGACTTAGGGCATTATTGCATACAGCACACACCGTAAACAATGTATAATGCATAGTAGTTTTAACATGCATACTGACATGATAGTATACTAATTTGTTGTCACGTTTCGTCACACAAGTTTTTTTTGCATGTTTAATGTATTTATTTCTTTTAGAGGTACCTTAACTTTTACTGTCCATACTGTAAATATTTGTAAATAAAAATAATGGCAAAAATTATAATGTAAAAAAGTAAAAATATATGAAAAATATTAAGCTATATAATATAATATAATATAATATCAAATAATATAATATAATATAATGTGTGAAAGCTATTTGAATGTGTTTTTGAGGGTTTTTATATGTGGCTTGAAATGACTGTAAACTAATTTTGTGTCTCTCTGTCTCTCTTTTTGCAGCTGAGCCAGCCGATCTCCTAAAGATTTTAGATTTTCACAGTTTGCCGGAGGGTGTAACAAAAACTACTGGCTTCTGCACACACCGGAAGTCGTCAAAAGGGCCTGATGTCGCCTACAGAGTCACAAAAGATGCACAGCTTAGCGCTCCTACTAAACAACTCTACCCCTGTGAGTACACACACACACACACATGTCTGGTTTGCTATCCTTGTGGGGACTCTCCATAGGCGTAATGCTTTTTCTACTGTACATACCGTATTTTCTATTGCTCGACACCAACCCTACACCTAAACTTACCCCTTACAGGAAATTTTGTGCATTTTTAGATTTTCAAAAAGCTTAATTCTGTGTGATTTATTAGCTTGTTTACCCGTGGGGACCTCAATTTAGGTCCCCACCGTGACATGAGTCCCCATGAGTCTGTGTGTATTCAGGTTTAAGTCCCCACCAGAATAGAAAAACAGGTACACACACACACACACACACACACACACTCACACGTGAGCATGCATGAACCCATAAACACATGCAGGTGCACCTGTTTACTTTTCTTCTCCATCTTTCCAGTGTTTGGGCTGCTGCTCTCTGTTCAGAGCACACAGACTCTCTGCCCTAAATAACTCTTTCAGAAACCCTTTCATTCTCCCATCCTCTGCAGACATACTGTATAATCTATTTAGACAGATGAGAGAGATGACTCAATGTTCTGTTAATGTGACCGCATTGGGCCAGAAACAGTTTCTATGCAAGTGCACAGACGCAAATGCTTGGACAATGCATGGTCCCGTTGCATGTACAATTTTATTTTAACATGGAAAGAAAATTCTAATTAATTAAAAAATTGTGGAATCAAGTTTACAAGAAACATGAAATTATACTGTTAGGTGTATTTTGGGTTTTACTGTATGTGTCGCTCTCTGAGCTGTCTGTGTGTGTCTGAGCACCTCATCATTACACAGTGGGCCGCAGCCACGGTGCCCTAGACTCTCCTTTTGGCAGGAACTCTGAAAATCTCAAGAATTTGATGGAAGGAGGGAGAGATGAGGCAGACGAGGAGAGAGATGCAATACCGGCATAATGAGACTAAACTAGATGAGACTAAATCAAACCGACTCTCTTACTTCAGCTCACACTGACTGTGTTCCAAACTCTAGTATGCTGCCTACATAGACAGTATTTATAAGTTTCGTAAGTGTGTTACTGCTACAAAGGCTGTTCTAAATATATATATATATAGCATATACATACAGTATAAGAATACTTAACGCCCCAATTTTTGCTAAAATCTAATGCATCATATAGCACAGTTTTCTTATTGGAGAAGGAAATATGTATGTAATGCTGAACATAAAAAAAGGTTTTATGTAAAATTGAAATTAATTTTAAGGCAAAGAAAAATTATTATTCATTGATTGATTGTTATTAATTTATTGAAATTAAACAATAAAAATGATAAAAACCAGGAAGAAAAAAATTTGAAATGTTATTTAATTTAATTTATTTAATTTAATTATTATTATTATTATTTTTTTTTTTTTTACATTGCCACTATGTATTTAATAGAGTACAAAACTGCTTAATAAAGTTTTGGACTTTTCCTTAATCAAATTTGGACCTTTTCTAGATGTTCCCTTCCATTGTGCTTCATCTAGCCATTTTTGCCCTTAAAAGGCAGCTCAGTATATTTTGTCCAATGTTTACTCGTTTGTCTAGCTATTTAAAGGGAATTCAATTTGTACTTGACTTCTGTTGCATTTGGTTTCAGCTGAATATGCTTACTCATTTTTTTTGTCTTAATTCTAAAAAACACATCCCTTCATTTCTAACTCATTTTACCTTTGAGGATGTCCCCAGCTGTCCATAGAAGGGAGGTTTTGTCAGATTTAGCTCACTTCTGGGGATGATTTTGTCCCTTAAGTACAGCTAAGTAAACACACACGCCTGACTGCTTGAGAAACGTGCAGGCAGAGTGAAAGAATATGGAAGAAATGAATCATCTATCGCTCCAAATACAATGCATCTGTTATTTCTCTCTGTAAACTTTTCACTCAGATGCTCAGGATTTTACAGACACACACACACACACACACACACACACAGACACACACACACACACACACACACACACACACACAGACAGACACACAGACATACACACACACACACGCAGCGAGTCCTTATTCCTTATTCTTTTTCTTCAACTTTTCTTAACTCCTCCTCCTCATGCATACCCATAAGACCATTGTCTTTCTTTTGTGGCGTGTCTCCAGGGTAACAGAGAGGGGTCGTAGGTCACTGGAGTTCTGGTGATGTTTGTAAACCTGCTGGAAAGCCAAACCTCTAGAAAGACATGATGAAAAACAGAGCCAGGTCACAACAGTACAGACAGAGATGATTGTTCCAGACTGTGTGTACATTAATGAGGAAAAAAAAATTAACGTAAATGATTTTAGCAAATGGCTGCAATATAACAAAGAATGAAAAATTTAAGGGGGTCTGAATACTTTCCGTACCCACTGTATATTTCAGACTCTAAAAAGGATATGCACCAAGAAACAGCCTGATCTTAGCCTGTTTCCTAGTCTGGTCTGATTTGATGATTTTAAAGGGGTTTTGAGAACTTGGCCAGGCTTGAAAAGACCAGCAAACCAGTTTAGACTACACTGTAAAAAATTTAATTTGTTTTTCACAGATGTAAATATAACAAAGGTTACTGGAGTATGTTTTACAAGAAAATAAAATTTTAATCTTTCTGCTTCAAAATTTCACATTTAATCCTGATTTTATATAAAAAAACTTGCTTTAATCTAAATAAATAAATAAATAAATAATTGTAATTATATTTAATGTAAAGATTCAAAAAAAAAATTACGATATAAAAATATGATAATTAATTCAATTAAATGTAATTTTATTTTAAAATATAACCAAGAGAATTTAATTTAGTTTTCAGTGATTCAACTTCAAAATTCGATGTTTAATGCTGATTTTAAACTTGTTTTAATCTAATTAAATTAAATAATTAATTATAATTATTTATAAGATAAAGAAACATTTATTTATGTATCCATTTATTGATTTATTACTATATAAAACAAAATAACATAATTTATGATAATTGTTTTATTTTCTTTTAAAATATAACCCAGGTAAGCAAATTTAATTTAATTTTATTTGATATTTTCAGTGTTTCGTCTTCAAAATTTGATTTGATGTTTAATGCTGATTTTTTAAAATATTTTTTATTAAAATGGAAATGAAAATTATTTTATTTATTTATTTTATTTATTTATTTTTACTGTGCTACTATGTGTAATTCATTGTGTTAATTGCTGTTTCTTTATCCTTATTTATTAAACTTACTAGCAATTTCTGACTGAAAATTGTGTAGTAGCTAATTCACAACTTTTCAGTCGTACTTATAGGCATGACCAGCAGGATGATCTATAAAAGAGGATCTTGAAATCACTTCAGGGAGTGGGTGAAAGGATTCAGGAGTAATGTGATTCCTCAGCATCCATAGACTCCAGCATTCCTTTAGGTTTCTGCATAAAGACCTAATTCTGACTGGAGGGGAAGGGAGAGATGAGACCGTAGATATGACGTCCTCTCTGAACTCTGGTTTTGTTTCATATTGCCCTGGTGACGGGCAGACCTCGTCTCCGGAGTGATGACCCTTGGCTCTTGCCCTTTGACCTTCAGCTTTGTCTTTAACACAGGAAACCAGGACAAAAGCTTCTCTTGTGTGAAACTGGTGGTTGTGTGAGCATGTAACAAACCTCATGAATTCATAAAAGCATCATGTAAAGTTTCATTACTTATATACACACACTCATATGCATGCATGTCACAGGGTTTTCTGGAGAAGGAACGGACTGATCAAGAGTGACATGAAGGACAAATAATGGAAAAAACAGACTCTTCTCTTCTGTTTTCTGTCCTTATATTCTGTGTCTATTGCTTATAAAGCAGTAAAGCATTCTAGAATTTTATTATGAACACTAAAGTGATCTAGAATATCACTTATCAAACAATAAAGCGGTGATAAATAGGGCTGGGTTTTGACACAAATTTCACGATTCAATTCGATTCTCATTCACAAGCTTACCGATTCGATTACCAATTCGATTCGATTCAATTCAATATTGATAATTTTGGATATATATCAGGTACAGTACATGCCAAATTTTCTCAAGGAAAAAAAAAGAGTCAGTCGGTATAACATTATAATATATTGTATAATAATATTGAAGGTTAAATTTTTTTAAAGTTTTTACAATAATAAAGTTACAGTTACATATGAATATTTCTACTTCAATTAATTAGAAAAAATATATAAACATTTAAATGGTGGCTATCATTAAAACTTGATGGATTTATTCAAACATAAATTAAACATCGAAGAACAGTAAAAATTATAATGAATATGTTATATGGTGCATATAGTAAGCAAAATGCCCCTCTCTACAGTTTATTTTTCTATCTGACTAATGAGTTCATAGTCACAGAATATGTTTTTTTCTGAGGTAAATGTGACGTTACGTTACATATTGTTTACAAGCCGTTATATTGACGTCTTTGTGCGGCTGAAACACAGATTGAGCGATTACAGGAGACAGGATACGGATTGTAAAGTTGTACTCTTTCTTTTAACTTACCTTCGGATGTTTAGTCATGTTTATTTTGTGCTGAAACTGGTATTGGAGATGATCAGTTCACGTGCGCCTCGCGCTGCCGCCTCTGTTAAACTGAGACGCTACAGCAATCTGTCACTCCACATTAAACAGCGCCAAAACGGCACTTATTTTTTAAATACTGCAATACAATGGACAGAATTTGAAATCTGATACTTTGTTTCATATGAAATGTACCAAAGCACAATGCTTATTGCCATAGGCGGAGCGTGTGTAAGGCTGTCCCCTGGCCACGGGGAGTCGGGGACTTGGGGCAAAAATGCCCCTGGACAGACAAATTAAATCTATTACGTCTGTTGCTAACAAAGGGAATATGAATAGACAGTGTCCATTGCAGCATTAAATTAAGATCTGCTCATGTTGCACCGTATTTTTACAGTGTTGCACATTTTAACCAATCACACACAATTCTGTTGAGCTTAGGAATGCAATGGCCAATCAGAGGCGTTCAGATGAGTCATCGCTGAAACTCAT